ATGTGTTATTGAGCCAGTCACTGTTAGCAGTTCTAAAACACACAAATACAAAACACAGTATTCAATTCATTCAATATTATATTCTGCTATTTTCTAAAGGACATAGTTAAAATAAGAAAAAAATACATTTAAAATGAACACTTAAACAAACCTTTTACAAACAAATTTATCAATATTTAATATATTTGTGATAACCATCCACCTGAACACCTCAGACTCCTACTTGTCTATATATTCATGCACAATGTGTGTGAGTGTGCATGCACACACAAATGGCACGTATTTATACTCATGTGTCCTGACTCAAAACAAGGTTTTCCCATAGAGACAATTCTTCTTTTGCAGGACAGCTCAAACTCAAATTGTATGCAAAGTATCTGTGAACATCAAGTTTAAAGTCTTTCCAAGGATTCTTACTTGGATTTAAGTTTGGACTTTTACAAGGAAATTTCCATACATATCATACATTTTATTTGTGACACATTTTTGCTTTTCTTCCACTTAATTAAGGTTTATTTTCTGTTGATCTTACATTAAAAAAAATCCAAAACGAACACATATAGCTTTGTGATTTTGATAGGAGAGAGAGTGCAAGGGTGTGGATACTTTTGGAAGGCATTTGATGAGTGCTAATCTGCTAACTTACTGCTCCCTTCATTAAATTCTGCTATTCAGACATGAAACATCTGCTATTTTGGTTATGCTGTGTGGCAGAATGATTCTTGTCAGATAAAACGTTTTTCAATTTTTCATTTTTTGTTTAAATAAAACAAAGTTCTCAGTTAGACTTAAGTATGCTGCTAAAACAATCACCTTTTAGTTCTCATCTTAACTAATCATCAAAGGCTGTAAATTGTTTCTCCACTAAAGACTCCAATTCATTACATTCAAGTTGGACTGAACAAATTAATTTGTCGTTGTTCATCTTTGCAGTGCAGGGTCTGCAGTGCTATGGCTGCAACATTATCCATGGTCAGAGGTATGTGGACTTGGGCTGCTCTAACCCAGAGGTCATCACCTGCACCCACTCACACAATGGCTTCAAACACCGTTTCTGCATCAAGACAGAAAGCAGTGAGTGAAGTTTTATTTTACTCTCCTCATCTTTTACCTCAGTGAGCAAATGTTACTATTCACTTTTTATTTTTTACTTCTCTGTTTTAAGTCACTGATGTACCACTGGATATAATGCATAATCATTTTTAAATCATACAATCATGTAAATGTTTCTTGCCTGGCAGATTTGAATATTCTATTTCCCTGCACAGGGGATAGTTATGTAACTTTGATGTGCTCTGCTGAGTAAATTGTAAGTCATTCAATGTTTGATGTTAAGTCAAATGAAGGATGCGGACATTCAAGGGAAGGACGATGATGGAGCAGATCCACGGGAGCGTGGGCAGCCCAGCTGTTTCTCTCCTTGACATCTCAAGAAATCTGCTCATGTTGTGGCGCGGCTTTCCAGTTGCTAAGAGAATCAGCGTGCACAGGCAAAAACTGCATGTGGTGCACTGTATGAAAAGCTCTAGCTCAAAATTGTGTACCAATGTCTTGGCAGTAATCTGTGGCCAGTCAGTCCATTTAATCTTCATGTGACCCTGTCAAATCCAAATCAAACAGATGCTGGCAAACTTCCATAAAAGAGTCTTACATTTCTGGTTTCTTTTGTTACTCCCTAATCTATAACATCTTCAGTCTCCTTCTCTTCTGCAAAATGAGTTTGACTCTAACTCGAAGCTCAGCACACACTGAAATAATAAAATGTTGGGTAGATTGGGCACAGCGATGGCACAAGATTAAGAGCCAACCATGTATGCCTTACAAGTTTGAGTCCTGGACTTTTGCCCCATGACTTCCTTCTCTCACAACCCACTTTCCTGTAAAACAACTACTAAATAAAAACCACTAGAGCTAACAAAACCCTTGAAAAAATGTTGGCTGAATTCTTACGTAATTGATAAAAAGAAAACTATTTCTATGCTGACATGAGCTGTACTATCGACCTCCAAAACAAGTATGCTTAGCTGAAGTTTAAAGTGTGAGAAGGCAATCATTTTCATATTGACAGACAATACATATAAAGGAGAAATTTGTTTCAAAAAATGGCGCAATCCTTAGAATACTGTGTATTTCTCAAAAAGAAATGAGTTTGATCAAATAAATTAACTACATGTACTCATGCATAATATTTATTTCTAATCATGCTCATTAGAAAAAAAACATTATGCATGATTATGTGTAGAAATTATGCAAAACATAACAGAAAATTTAAAAAAATGCAAATTGAAAAGAGGAAAAATTATGTATAGAGGGGAATGGTTAAATATGTCTGTATCTGTATGCTCTACCCTTGTAAAAACAAATTAATAAATAAATAAGAAATTTAAAAAAAAGTTAAATAGGAGAAGATTAAGTGCTATGTTTAGACACAGAGCAGTCATATAAACATAGCTATTATTATGTTTATTTTGTATTTTGTTTTTATTGCACAAAATACACTTGTCAAAGAGCTGTTTTTTACTCTCCTTTGTATTCTTAAGATGTGTAAGTGTTTTCCTCATTATCCACTTGCAGTGCTTAGTGCTTAGTTATGCTTTTTTTTCCTGCTGAGACAAACACCAGCTCATCTCTCTTATCTGACTGACTGACTGACTGGCTCTCCTTCCCCCCATTCTGTCCCTGCAGCGGCTCTGGGTATCGCCCTGACCAGTGGCTGTGCGACGTCCAGACACTGTCAGCAACAAGAGCTGCCGGGGGTGCGAATTCACTGCTGTGACTCCGACCTGTGCAACAGCACCCCGCTGTGGCATCCGAGCACACTCCACTATGTCTGTGCACTGGGTGTCCTGCTACTGAGGATATGGTGGTGATGAGAAACTAGAATCGGGACAAGCATCACTGGATTGTGCATCTCACAGGCTCAATGAGAGTATTACTCAATGTGGTGTTGCTTGAAAGCAGCTCTTAGAGATAGGTTCTGTCACGTTGTTGGCTCGGACTATGAATCACAGAGAGAATAACCCATAAACATGTTTGAGGAAAATAATTAGAATTAACATCTTCCACCCATCAGAGATCTTCTTGTGCACTTACACCTATTTAAATGTAGCGTCAAGTATGTCATTTTCTAGAACATTTATGTTAGAGTTTTACTGTCTGTTCAGTAAAAAGAAGATTTAGCCCATTTGTGTCCAAAGGCTGGTATCCTGCATGTTTTAGTTCTCTTCCTGGTCCAGCACATCTGAATCAAATGATGATGATGATCAGCAGGCATGTGCAGAACTGTGTTGGAGCAGAGACATATCTAAAACTGGTAGGACCTTGGCCCCTAGGACTGGTGCTGCACACGCATTATTAATCCATAAAACATTTAAATAACCCATAAATAATTAATTAAAAAAACATAACCTGAAAATAAACAATGAAAAACATAAATGACCCATAAAAAATTACCCATTGCAATGCTGATTTCAGCTTTACAAAGTCTTACTTCTACTTGAAGGCCTATCTTTTTCTGTTTTAAGGAGTTTGCTATATTTTTTCAAGATCAAACATATGTTTGGTCTGGTCTTTTAATGTTATGGGCTCTTTACTTTACACATTAAATTATATATTTTTTTTCAGTTTATATTACAGCACTGCAGGGCAGCTGGTGGGAAGAAAACTTTATGTAAGTCTTCTGTGAAATATATGTTAGTGAAAGCATGTAATATTGTGAATTACATCAATAAATGTTTCATATTTTTCAAAAGAAAGGTGATTTGACGCTGCCTTTATTTTTTATGGCAAGATAAGCAATTGCATCAAATCCAGACAAGTCAAATGTGTAAGTCTGAGGCCATGCTTATTAACTTGAAAACAACATGTTACTCTGAGTTTAGGAGATCAATCTCTTCCTCAACACAGGAGTTCAAGGATTTTGAACCATCATTGTTTAGGAACGATGGTAAGATGGATCGAATGGAGCGAGATAGATGGGGTTCCCCTACAGTAATGTTGGCAGTGCTCCAAACCAATCCATAAAAGTTGGGGTCTAAATTAAACTTTTAATTCTCTACATTCCCTTAATTATGTTAATGAAGCATGGATCTTGACCAAAAGATTGAGATTTAGATACAGATGGGGAAAATGAGATGAGCTCAGCCTCAGAAATGAGGTTAGGTGCTCAATCATCCAAATGGAGTTCAGAATAAAGATGTCAAAGTTTCAGGAAGGTTCCTGACCTCACAGAAAGGCTTAGTGTGAAATGGTACAATATGCAATATAATACTGTATGGCACAATAATGCCATACTGCCAGAACATATCTGAAATTTGTCCTACCTTTTGTGGAATGCTCTTGGCATATCTGTCAAAAGTGGTCCAAAGAAATCAGACTACAATAGACTCACAGATGCACAAGCAAAGGTTGGTCCTTTAAGTCTAATCAGAAGTATGCCGAAGGAGAAATCGCTGATCCTTTGGGCAACGATCATGGGTTGTTTCCAGTGGTCATCATACGAGATGTGGGGTACAACTTGGATAGGTCGCCTGCCCATCACAGGGACACATAGATATTCAAATTTTCCAGATCTCAATCCAGTCAAGCATTTGGCGGTGGACCTTGAAAAAAGGTCCAGTCCATGAAGGCCTCAACTTGCAATTTACAGCATTTAAAGAAACAGTTGCATTTACCTTCCAAATTTTAAATCACACCCTTACGTGTGCGGGTTATCATATTATTAATTATTAGTGAGTATGGAGAAAGTGTAAAGCTGCTATTGCAGAAAATATGCAAGCAGAGACTTCACAACACACATTTAACAAAGCACATAGACAATAAAGATAAAAATTATTATTTTTATTTGCATTAATAAAAGCTCTTACTATCTCTTCTATATGGACTAAATGTTATCTCCAGAGATATTATAATATAACGTTTAGGTTGTCTCGTCCATTCTCACTCCTACTAATAGTGCCTAAACAGCAAATCGCCGCATACGAGGTTCTTTGTCCCAGAAACCCATTGTATAGAGCCGAGGAAACCCTGTGCGGTGAGCAGCCATCTTGAGCCAGGATAACCTGCAAACCTCTTCTGAACAGCTCCAAAACGCCGAAAGATTTCATTCCTGGTAAGGACAGACAATGAGGATTATTTAAATGCAACCTTACAATGGTAATATGTTGAATAAACATGGAGGCACACACGTTTGACTCAGTGATCTGTAGAAATTGGATAGCATTAGCTGTATTTGCCAGGATACAACTAAGTGGAAAGCTAACGAAGCTTGTTAAGATAATGGTTGTTTCATTTATTTAATAATGTGGACTCTTATCGAGTTATTATGATGGAAAAACATCTCTCATATGCCGTATAAGTTGTCTGCTTTAGGCTCACAAGATACATTTGCAACGCGGCTATTAGCTGATCAATCAGCCTGCTAAAGCTAACGCTAACCGACGTTGGTTTATTTAGTATTTAAATAAAATAAAGCTGGTCCCAGATTAGTTTGTGGCTTTCGATATTCTCACACAGTAAGACATTTCCTTGAAGTGTGAAAATGGTGGCAAGTACGTTCCGTCTAGTTTTTGTAGCGTTTGTTTTCGAGAAACACACATTGACGTCAGCTAGGTTATAAGCTAGAGAGCTAATGCAAACTTCGCTTTCAAAACACCTAATCTGGAGCTGTATTTTTGATCAGACTCGACCACTTGTGGTGTTTTTTCACGACAATGTATATCTGTATTTCCTCCCCTGTCTTCTTGCAGATGTTTTTTGTCTTTTTATGCCTCAGTAAAGAAGCAAACTAGTAAACCCACTGCTGTTTTTTTTTGTGTGCCGGTTTTCAAGCTAATGTTAAGCTAACCTGAAATTTTCAGTGCTGAACATGTCAAATTGAAACATTTGCATCTATTACCTCACATGTTCAGTTCTGGATTCGGTGTTTATAATTTTTGTGTATTTGCAAAGGAGTGAAAATGGATCAATAGAGCAGCATTATACAGTCTACTGCTAATTCGTAGCTTTCCGTGTATTAGCCACCTCTTTTGGTTTTGTTTTTAACAACATTAAAACGCTTATGTATGAAAATAGATTTTTTTTCCCCATTGGAATAGCTTTGCTAAACATGCTTTAAAACGCTGCATCATTTCAGTGATCTGTGAGTAAATCAATTGAACTACTGCGATCACACAATTTATTGTTTTTTAACACGGCATCGTTATTTAATATATCAGGAGTTTTAACACCTTACTGCAAGTTTTCATTAGGACTTGGAGTCTCAGGATTTCATTAAGGGGCCCTGTATGTAGCTGCATAATTTGCATACCACCATTTTTCTAATCCTAAAGTATTCATCGTTTTCCACTAAAAATAAATGTGGTGATTTATGTTAAGATATTGCATACCTAATTGTGATTGCATGCTTTTTTTTCAGCAGCAGCTTGGTAAACTAAACAGGAAAGGGTAGCTATAATGACATAAACAATAGACTGTAAGACCTACTCTGGGAGTTTAGGGTCATGGGAACTATTCACTGTGGTATATTGAATCAAATATATTTAAAGCGGATTTTGAGCAACCGGGTTTAACCAAACTGCAGAATATTTTTACAACTTTGCCTGCTGTGATTTGATATCTAAGGTAATTTGATATTTAAACCTAAAATAAAAGATAATGTCCCATATGACGAAATACTTCAGCAGAGCTGCTTCTAGATTTATTTTGTAAAATCGTCTTATTATTATTATTATTATTAATAGTGTACTAAAATGATGCTAAGAAGTTAAAGAGAAAACATTTTTCTTCAAGTTCTGTAGTCTCTTGTTCTCACTGCAACAAACTAATATTGCGATTAAAAACTTGATTTCATATTGCTCATCCTTTATAGCAACACTTGATTTCTTTTATACGTTTCCTGATGAATCATCGCAAGTTAAACGAAACACGAACTGAAAAGGAAGTGAGCTCAGTAGAGGTCGTTGAACTTCTTCACTAGAAAGAGACTTGATGTTTCAGAGGAATATGAAAAAGGCTGAAGCTGCATTCTAATCACACGGCCTTGACTTTGCTACATCTTAATGAATACTCATCCTTTCTCGTTTTTTTTTTTTTTTTTTTTTTTTTTGGTGTTTTTACTCTTGTTGGGAATATGCACTCTAAGAGATTATCTCCCTGTTACACTTGGGATGAGGTGAGCATATGAGGGTCACGTGATGAAATTCTGTCAAAGACTTAAAGCGCTCTGCTGGGATATTAAAAGCACTACAGTGTGACTGGTTCCTGATCCATATCACCTTAAAATTTGGATACAGAATTTTCAATGTCTGGGACACGAGCCATTTATTTAATAAACTTCCCTTTCCCCATAATGTTGTTAAATCAGCAACTGACATGATTAAATTAACTGATGAATAAGGTGAACTTCTAGCATCCTTGTGAACATATGTAGCTTTGTAAAACTAACTGCGTTCTTTATTATAATATCAAATATGTGTTGAATGTACCTTAGCAACAGATGATGCATACATTAATACTTATTTTATGTTGTCCTGAAGCACTACTGCTTCTTTTTAGCCAGTAGAGTCAGTGGTGAAAAGCAGGTCAGGTTGCAGTTCGTGGAGGACTTTTGGTGTGAGCCAAGTCTTTTCTTGGGTCATTAGCAGAAACACAGGTTGTTCTTGAACATCACAAGATGTTTAAATTTTGTTTTTTAAGCACAAATTAAAGGTTTGTGCTTTTCCACTTTTTATAAAATGTGAAAAGGGTCTAAAAAGTTGTTTAGTTTAAATAAAATTAAGTTTAAAGCAACTTCTTAATCAAAAACATTTCTCTACCACTGCGAGGCAACTGGACTGGGACCTGGGTGAAACGTTGCTTTCCAAGAAAAACCTTTGGCAAAAATCAAAAGCCTGAGGAACTGTTCCAAGATCATTTGAAAATGCAATTTTGGCTTCTTAGAAGCAAAAAATAAAGAAGCATGACTTGACTGATAGACGCAGGTTTGTTCATGTTGCAGGTGTGTTGTAATAGATGAAAACCTGCACTTGTGTCATATCCGGTTATGAGATAATCAAGTCAGTTTATTTTAAATCTGGGCCAAAGTTTTTATTTAAATTAGTCAAAAAAAAAAAAAAAACTAATATAAACCATTCCAAAATGTATTTGGTTGGAAAATGTTCACGTTATCATTTGTAGCCCCATCCGTTTGCTTCCAGTTTAGTAAAAGCCTTTGTTTTTTTCTCTTGTCACTTGTGTCGTTTTCCTTCTGTGCTTATCTTATCTCAGCCCATCCACATTTTTTTGGAGTTGTGTCAGCAGTAGCCCAGCCAGTCAAACATGGTCACTTTGCTCCAGGTACCGAAGTCTGAGCGAGTATGCCAGGCAGTTCTGGGTTGTGATGTGGCACAGGGAACTAATTTGTGCTGCAAAGAACTGCAGCACAAATTAGTCTGAACCTTCACTTGCTGAAAGGCACGGCCTTCAGGCACACTAACTTTGAGCAAGGAGGAGGAAAGTAAGAGTCAGCATAAAAAGAGCCTAAATGTCTGGAAATGGCTTCATATAATGGGTGAATTTGATGTCAAAACTCAACAGAATTTTTCTGCCTCTTATAGTAGTTGTTTTTCTCACTCAATAAAATGATATTACCACTAAATGATTATTTTTGGCTTTGCACCGTATCGAGCTCACACTGTCTGTAAATTGTGAAGATAAGCTCACCGGAGTTGGTGGCGGCCTGCTCTGTTATGAGATAGATTGCCACTCTCAGTGAAAGCTTATTAATCTAAAATGAGAATCTGGGAGCTGCAAAGCCCTAACAAACCACTAATTCAGACAACATGAGTCTGTAGGCGGTGAGGAGGATCCCTGGCGCTTTGTTGCTGGAAAAAAGAAAGCCAGTTCAAACACACTTTCATCTTAAAAATATCTGGAGTTTTTGAGTGAACCTAAATGCTTTTTCATATATGTGTTGTGGACAGGCTGTGATTTTGAGATGAAAACTGATAGAATAGTAGCGCTAACGATAGTGTTGACCAGTAAACTGGGAAAGATCTTTCGAGGATAATTGCATGTGGACAGCAGATGGACGGTGTCAGAGCTTTTATTTATAGCTAAATCTATAATAGTGAATGTGTTCTTGTGTGATTAGAGGAAAGAAAGAGGTTCTGTTTAGAACACCTAAACAGCATGCTGTGATGAAACAGCATGGCGTTTCATCACCATGCTGTGGCATTTCAATAGCTTTGATGTCACTGTTTTTTTTTTTTTTCAATTTAGGGTAAAATACCATTCAGATTTTTTTCAGGTGCTTTTTTATTTTATTTTTTTAAGTTTCCTTCAGAAATCAACTCAGAGTTCAAATTTGTTAATTTGTTAAACTGATTTCAGCTGTTGGTCAGAATAACCAACCAAAAGCCACTGCTTTTAATATTCCTTGTGCAAAGGAATGTTTTGGTTTCCCAAATTGTTGTCTGATGTTTTTCAAGTGTTATGAGTTTGCATTTTACATGTTGATGTGATATTTATCCAGTTGGGCAGAGTTCCAGAGCAGCAGATGTTGACACCGGACACAAATGACTTTGCTCAAAATGCCAAAGGTCACGGAGTGAAGGCGGGACAGATGAGAATGAAAAAATAGAGATGTATCACAATCGCATTATATATCACACACACATATCCTGGAACCTATATGTCAATGTGAATGTTTTTGAGTGTCTGATGTTATTGACAGTTTGTCAAAATTAACACTGGTTGTCACTTTAAAGCTGGTATCTATTATTATTCATAAGGCTGACATAGTCAGGATTGAGTTTTTCTGAAAATGGGCTGCAGAATGAAAATCATTCAATCTCTGTTTTTAGCACTTATTTTTACATCAATAAATATGAATAATGTGGCCTTTGTTAAATCTGATATTAGCACCTGAAGCCCAGTTCTTCTGTTTTTGTCATATTTGCTGAAAACACCTCTCTGCTTTCATTCCAGAGCCACCATGGCCACTGCACCATATAACTACTCCTACATTTTCAAATACATCATTATTGGTAAGTGACCATCATTCCATGAACCTTGCTTAAACTGTCTTTTTTTAATCATACTTACATTTAATGTCTTAATTCCTCTTACTGCTCTACATAAAAGCCTTTTACTTTAAAATGCATTACATCAACAAACACTGCCACCACTTTGTTTTCATTTATTGAACTGTTGATTAAATACTTGGCCATTACAGTTGATCAGAAGAGTGTAGAAATATGTACAATTTATGCGAAAGTAAGCCTCACATTCATAAAAAAACATGGCATTCATAAACATCTCTCCTTTTTTTTTTGTCCCAGTAGTCCATAAAATGTAAAGCATTGCTGTTGTATTGGGGTCAACACTGCAAGCTTGAATAGAAAATGATTGCTCCTCTGTTTCCTTGGTTGACCTGAGTCTCTCCCTCAATAGGGGACATGGGAGTAGGGAAGTCCTGTTTGCTTCACCAGTTCACAGAAAAGAAATGTAAGTACTGCTCTGATTTTTAACTCCTCTGTGTGTCTTTGGGTGCACATCAGTGCTTGCAAGGTTGCCACATATCTCTGGAGTGCCTAAACCTCTTTAGATTTCTTTTTACGGCAGCGGATGTCGACGGCAGAGCAGATGAATGGTAGCTCAACAGTGAGAGTCTCTTCTCCTGTGTATGAGCCAGCTGCAGCCTCCCATTGCCATTCAGCTCAGTTGTGTTTAGTGGCACTATTAAAAAGCCAGATGCAGTGTTTCTTATTCATGTCTATAATCACATCCTGGACGAATCCACACACACACACGGGGTAGATTTTATTTTATGTTTTTTAATTTTTTTTTAGGAAACGTTCAGTCATTTGAAGCAAAGTTCAAACTGTTTTTTTTTTTCAGTTCACAGATGAATTCAGTTAAAATGCAAAAATGTATGTTTACCTTCACTCTATACAATTTGCAAGAAAAAAAAAGCATCAAACGTCATTTTGATGACGTTTGATGAAAAGGTTCGATTCATGTTCAAATGCATTCGAGCCCATTCAGTCGTGCACAGTCAGATTCAGATCATGAAATGCCAATCAGAGAAAAGTTTCCTCCGATTACATCATACATTTTCATGTGGCTGTGGATGATTTACTAGGTGCTAGGAGGACTGCGAACAATTAATACTTTATTACAATAGGTCCTGCAGTCTCAGCAGACTTGCCGCTCGTGGCTTTGAAACTGCCATTTCAGAACAACGTAACATTTCACTTCCAAACTGCTGCCGTGTTTCTTCCAAGGGAAAAAAGTGTTGGAGCAACAGGCCTTATGCCTCCTTAGGAGAGCTTCTACGTACCGCATCACTGCAAACTTAAAACAGCTTGAGAAAGTTTTGGTGACTCTGACTTTTCCTGGCATCTCATTCAAAGGATTTCATACGAATAGGAATGACTTGGTAGAAAAATCACTTTTTACAAACCTTATTCACTGAAGCTTTCCGTAAATTAGAGTATTTTCCAAAAGTCAATTTATTTAAGGGATTTTATCACTAAGCGAAACACGTTACAGAGAGTAATTACACACAGACATAATGAAAACATATTTAAAATTAAAATATTACATCAGACTGAGAAACATTTTAATTCAAAAATGTAACCTTAATTAAAATTGTTTAGTCTTTCCATAAGGTACTTTTAATCTGACAAATGAACCTCATTAGAATGTGTATTCTAATTTACTGTGACTGGTTCACATCAAAGTTCTTGAAAAAACAAAAAAGCCACATAAGCAGTGCAATAACATGGCAGTCAGCATGTTCTCCAGCAGTATTTCTAGAGTGGCTCTTCATTATCAAAGCCCCTCTAGAGTAAAATAACATATTTAATCCTGGTCCTAAAACTGAATAAAGACAGAAACCCAGAGTTTGTTCTTGATAACTGAACTCTCTGTCCCCCGTACATCTAGTTGAGGTCTAGTTACATCTATCCAGAGAAAACATTAAACAGTTTGTCTGAATTGAAAAGAAGGAAAACCAACATGTTTTTTTTTTATGTCTCCAAGACATGATTGTAGTTTATATGGTCGAATTAATCCAGCTCCATGGATAACTGTATAGCTTGGCTACTGTCTGTAGAGCAATTGAAATATAAAATTGAGTTAGGCTAGTAAGGGCAGGACAAAATTCAGAATATCTTTCAATTTTCTTAGGATTTATAAGTTTAGTTAAACTTACTTACACCCTCCTAAATTTGCTTAAAACAAAAAAAAAAAAAAAAAACGAAAAGAAAAACGGAGCACCAAACGTTTGTACAAGGATTAGCAAAGAACAGTTGCATGTGATTAATCAAAAAAATACACAAATGATCTGACTTCAGTCTTCTGTCTTGTTGTCCAGTTATGGCAGACTGCCCTCATACAATCGGCGTGGAGTTCGGGACGAGGATAATCGAGGTGAGCGGACAGAAAATCAAGCTGCAGATTTGGGACACAGCAGGACAGGAGCGCTTCAGGGCCGTCACCCGCTCCTACTACCGCGGGGCTGCAGGGGCACTTATGGTCTACGACATTACCAGGTAAGGCTGCTGGTTCTCCTTTCTTCCCGCTTTCTGCTTGATTCTGATGTGAAGAAAATAAGAAGTTAGCATTATGTACTTGCACATAACGTTTGAGAAAGAGATGGAGAGCTGCAGATGATTAGTGTCTGGGACGGTCTGTCCTCAGCTGTTTGACGGGAGGCTTGCAGCAGTGCATGTGTAAACTGGAGGAAAATCTGTAAGTGTCCTCCAAAGGGAAAAATATGCAGCACAAATGTTGCTGCTACTTTACAAATGTTCATTTCCTGTTGTCAAAGGGTGTGCCTCGCAAAGTCTTGATATTATCATGTTTTCCCTCACATGGTGTGCCTCCAGCTTAGAAAGCATTGTTTGTTTGAAAGAAAACAGCGTTGGATTATACTACTTCTGACGAACCCATTTAATCCTTTCACATGTAGTGATAACCTCAAACTTCTGCACGCCTGTGCATGTTGTTGTCCTGCAGGAGAAGCACCTACAACCACCTGAGCAGCTGGCTTACTGACGCCAGAAACCTCACCAACCCCAACACTGTAAGCATACAGACATATTTACACTGCGTTATTGCACATAGTAATGCAAATTTAACGTATCTCTTCATCTTTAGGTGTACATATAATTTGTAACCAGATTTTTCCTCTTAGTGACTCCATCTTCTCTTCCTCTACCACTTTGTTTTCCATCAGTTTTACTGGAAAAGCACAGGCCTGGTTTCTTAACTAGATCTTTCTTGACAAATTTGATTAACTCCAAATCATCCAGCTCTCTATCAGAGAAGTCTGTGCTTGTGCAACAGGCCACTTCTATTTCAGGTTTCTTGAAATGCATCTGGTGTTTCATCCAACCTTAACGGAACGTCGCACACTTCCTGCCATTAAAGTACACTTTAATGCCACTAAATGGATGTAAATGGCCACTATTAATTATTTCAAACGGGATGTATAGCTAATTATTCCACTCAAAGTTTTTGTAAGATACGTTTTTGAGGTTGCTTTGTTTTGTTTTGCATATAAATCAGATCAAAATCAGTTTAGGCGTAACACACACTGGACGTGAAATGCATTGACAGTGGATTGCATACATACTTTCTTTTTTTATTTATTGTTTTCAATGTATTTTTTTCCCTGAAATTACTTGTAGAGACCATAAGGGGGCTCTTAACACTACTTTTAGTGTGAATGTTCAAGAGCTTCATAATAAACCTTATGCTGTAGAACAATAATTTGAATATGTTAAGTTTTAATTATCTTAAGCAGCGTCTAAATTCTGATTCAGAATCATGTAGTTGGTATTTCTAGAGATAAATATGAGATCGGTACATTAGAGATCTCCTGATGATCCGGCTGTTAGGCAACCTGCCCCCATGCCTTCCCCAGGCCGTCACTTTATCTCTTCATAGATCAGTGAAGTCCACCTTCCTGCATGTTCTTCAGTTTTATCTCCTCGCACCGCGTCAGATTTCTCCCTGGCAGGAACGAGCGTGCAGGAGATCGTCTCACCCTTCCTCTTCCCGTGTCGTCAGGTCATCATTCTCATAGGAAACAAAGCGGACCTGGAGGCCCAGAGAGACGTCACGTATGAGGAGGCGAAGCAGTTCGCTGAGGAGAACGGTGAGCCGGTCGTCACCTGGACACGTGTGAATCAAAGCGCAAATTTCTCAGGAAAATATTCCAATTTCAGGACTTTTCTGTTTCGCTGTTACGACTAACTTTCATGTCAGACCATAACCCGAGGTTTCAATAGAGAGGGAAAAAAAAGGATTAAAAATGGAATGAGTAAGGAGATGCTAAGTGAACTTGGTAATATATTTTAATAATTTCTTCTTTCTGTTTCTTAGGTTTATTGTTTCTGGAAGCCAGTGCAAAAACGTAAGAACCACCTCAAAGTTTCAGCTACTGCAACATTTTACCTTGCAAAAATGTTCACATTCCTGTTGTTACATTACAGCCTCAAACTTCAGTGCATTATTGAGATATTATATGACATATTGAGCTAGCATGTGATTTGGAAGAGAGGAGAAAACAGTATGCATACACACATTTTAAACTTTATAGCAAATTAAAAACCTGAAAAGTGTGGCTTGTGTTTGTTATACAACTAATTACAATTCTTATCTTAATTTCAAATTAAATCATCGCAGGCATGACAATATTGCGATTTCATATTTTCCTATCTTTTCTAGCTTTACACATGTACACACTGAACATCTTTCCTATCTTATTTGGATCATTTGGACTTTGACTGGACCATTCCATCCCATGAGTTCGCTTTATTCGAAACCATTCTGCTGAAGGTCAACCGCAGCCTCAAGTTTTAATCGGCACCAAAAAAGTTTTCAGTCAGAATTGCTTTAAGCTCTCGTCCATCTTTACCTCCTCAACCTCTGACCAGAGCATGATGCTGCCACCACCATGTTTTTCCATGGGGATTGTGTGTTATGTGCTAGTTATCCATCAGTAAGTCAGAACGTAAAAATCTGGTCTCATCTGACCAAAGTACTGTCCATTTTGTGTGGTATGAGTTTGCCTGTTCTTTCACAGCAATCAGACAGGAACAGGAAGGAGAAAGATTAAACTACGCATGTAGTTAACCAGGAAAGCGCTCCTTTCCTGGTTCTTGTGGCTCATATGAAACTCTGTGGTTTTAATGTGACAAAATGTAGGAATACTTTTGCAAGACCCTGTACAAACTTTACATTTTTTCTGCATTTTGCCTATTCGGCTTCATATAACTGTACCTTTTCTCTCCAGAGGTGAAAACGTCGAGGACGCTTTCCTTGAAGCCGCTAAGAAAATCTACCAGAATATCCAAGATGGCAGCCTGGACCTGAACGCCGCCGAGTCAGGGGTGCAGCACAAGCCCTCGGCGCCTCAGGGCGGTCGGCTGACCAGTGAACCCCAGCCCCAGAGGGAAGGTTGCGGCTGCTAATGACCGAGCAAAAGCCCCACCGCTCCACCCACCCCCTCGCGTTCCTCCATCCTTCTTTATCCGTTCTGCCCGGCCTCCTTTGAGTAACCCCTCCATCCATTCCGACGCCTTTGTGCGCTCATCCCTCACTGCACCAGGAGCTGCGTGAGAGCAGGGCTGCGGAGGAAAGGCAGGGCGAACATCGACTTAACGCCAGACCGAGCCGGGCTGTGTGGACTACATCTCTCCCTCCTCCTTTTGCCCGTCTCTCTTTGTTGCCGTCTCACTCGTCCTAAAACTGTCCGTGTTTTTCAGTCCCATAATGCCGCTGTTCCGCTGCCCCCTCAGTCGTCCTCCCTCCCATCAGTAGGATTTGTAGATGACACCACGAGTCACTGGTCACTGACACTTTAGATAGACTCAATGTTCAATCGATAATAAAGCAAGACTGTTTTTTTTGTTTTTTTATGTTTGGTTTTACAGATATATATATATATATGAAATATACACACTGCAGAAGTTTTGTTTCAATTGAATCTGAATGATCTTCCCAAACTCTTCAAATTTATGGTTCTTTTCACCGCATCATGCAGATAAGAGATGTTTCATTTGAGCGAGGGCAGGAGCTCATAAAGTAATTTATTAAACGGCCACACGGGTTAACTCCAGACGGAATGAGGAGTTGAGCTTTTTTTCCAGTAACTCATGAGAGATGCAATGAAGGAAACTCAAAAAAAAACAGATGGCCACAATAAATGTTAGGAATTACCTTCTTTTTGCTATTTTTTTTTTTTTTTTTTTAATCTTTCAAGGAGATTTTGGTGTTCTCCAGCTGGAATGAATTACAGTTGGCTGGGTGGATGGTTGTCTTTTCTTTCTAATTTTTTTTTTTTGACTCAGACGTCACTCTAATCACATTTTCCATCGCGTTCTTCTTCAGCTCTGCCCTCATGCATCCAACCCCCAAAACTCTCCCCTCACTATCATGTCAACACGTCTTTACCAGCATCTGTTTCGTCATCGTTGCCTTATTATAGCAGTTCTTCTTTTTTGATGCACTTGCTCTTCACGCTACCCTGATTGAATAAAATTTGTCTTTTAGGATCACTATTACATTCTACACTCATTAAAACACAATTATTTGGGCCCCCAAAAAGCTGCACTGAAGAGCCGATTTATCTGGAGACTTGTTAGTCTGCCTCATGTAACCAACACAAAGCAGCATGCATCCCCACTCCAAACATAAAGTTGTAAAGCGAAATGTTTATTTCCTCTTCAAGTACAATTTCTCTGTAACATAGCAGTCCCCTGACTGAACAGCTGTATATATATCTCGCTTCTTAACTGCTGGTGATGATCTTGCTACTGTACTTTGGTTTCAGAAATTTATCTGGTGGCTCTGCCAAGATCTGTACAGTTGGTGTGCTTGTGGGTTGCCTGTAATTCATGCTTGGGGAAATTCTGTAACATAGTTTCTATTAATAAACGTACGTAAAGGACAGACCCGGACAAGCCGCCGTCTCCCATTAACCAGCCCATCTGCACACTACTGAGTTAGCCGATATAATGAGGGGGAGAGAAACTGGTTTGAGGTATGCAGGTTGTATTTGTGTCTGCAATTTTGCATCATTTCTGTATAGATTGGAGAACGGGGGGCGTGTTTGTGTTCATAGTCGGCCTTTATTTTTCCACCCCATCAAGCCCGCTCCCTGGCGGAGGGACGGAGCGTCACTCTTAACCATTTTGGGGAGCAGTGATTGGTTCTTCATCGTGGGTGGGGCGGGCTTCCTTTCTCCCCCTCCCTGCCTTCCACCCCTTTACAGTTTGAGTGACCACTTCCTGCTTTGTCTGTCCACAAGTTAAAAAAAGCAAAAGGTAAAAAAAAAAAAAAGCAAAGCAAAAACAAGTAAATATGTATAAATTTTTAAGAAGCTGTGCTAACATTTAAATGCGTTCTTGGCGTGTATATGATTTTAAAATGTTGACATTTTGATTTTAATGACAAAATACTCTAGTCAGAAAAAATAAATTATACATAACCTGACTCTGTGTGTGTGTGTGTCCTTTTTAAGATGTTGCCTTGGATGAATTAAAGGGGCCGTATCACTTCAGTTATAAAAAATATTCTACATATCAAAAATGACTCAAATTTGACTTTGGATTTTGAAATTGTGCAAATGAACAAATGTGGAAGATTCAAGGATTTCTAAACATCTGGGTTTGTTTTCGACAAGAAAATCCCCTTTTTTTGAGTTTCACATCAAAAAAAGGGGATTTCACATACAATCCCTTTTGTAGACCAGCGGTGACCATTGTCAGTTTGGCTTGTTTAGAACACCTTCTTTTGTGTCAATTTTTTTTTCTAGAGCAGAGGAAACTAAGTCCAGTCCTCAAGAGCTGTCATCTGAACTTTTAGGTATGACCCTGCTTAAACACACCTGAATCAGGTGTGTTTGTGTTCAGAGTCAGGAGGTGACCTGACCATGCCGTCAAATTCAGAAAATCCCTGGCAACGAGCCATTCATTTGATTCAGATGTGTTGCACAGGGGAAGCTCCTGCATAAGAATTGTAGCTGGAGACTAGTGAGCAGGCTTTAACTTCTGAATCTGCAAAAGATAAAATAAAGACTGAATAAATAACTGATAGTGGCTGAAAGATGGAATGGAGAACAGAATAATGGATAGAAAGTTATGTAAATATTGTAGGGAAGTCAATAAGTTTCTTTTTCTAAACCTGGAAAATATTAAATTCCGATCTCCCTCTGGCTGTGCAGGAACATTCTTAAATCAAGCTATTTTCACTCGGTAAAGGAAGTCATAAAAACAGTCACACCCAGATTTATATTTCAAGTAGCTTTTGTATTTTACTGCAAAACAAAACAAAAAAAAAAATTGCACCCAGGTTAGAGAGGAAGAAACATTTACAAATACAGAAAAACTTTGTTTACAAAACTTGGTGATCGAGGCTTAGACACAAAAGTAGAGTAGTGGTATGTTCGCTACAGAAGAGGAATTAACAAAAGCAACAACAGTACCATTGAAGTCAAGGCCGGCAGCGGTGACTTTTGTCCAAAGGCTTCGCAGTCAGGCAGGGCACAGAGGATGAGACGATTACAGCACAAATACAGGAAAAAGTTCGAGGGATTCAGATGAAGGGGTGGGGAAAAGAAAAACATTACGGTGGAGTCTCACGTCAGTGTCTGTAATGGTCCCCCCCCTCTTTCAGTCATCTTGAAACAGCAATTGACAGACGCGATAAAATTTTAGTCCAGTGTTTCCCAAGGGGGTGTTTTATTTTTTTTCGTGGCGGTGGAGGCCCTCTGCAACAATCGCTCGTGTGTCAGGAACAGAGGCCTGCCGGGGAAACACCGAGTTGGTCTGTTATCTAACAGCATGCTGCAGCAAGGCCAGGCTGCTACTAATGGCTGCTTTCACTGGCACAGAGGAAACAATTGCATCAAAACTCCTTATACATACAAATTTAAAAAGACAGGTTTAGTCTGAGAATAAATGAAAAAAAAAAAATCCACTGGGATGCAGATCATTAACCCAGATTCAAAGATTTTTCTTTTTGTTTTTTGATGCTGCAAACATTTGTATCCGATAAACACGAACACAGCCACTCACTCTCAAGCACAAGGCAGAACTCAGCCAAAGCCATACAAACATGCTTTAACCAATAACAGCCTCACTAGAACTAATTGTTACGGGAGAGGTGGGAGAAGCACAAACAGACAAGAGGGTCATTCTCTCCGTATTGTTATTTTATGGCACAAATGGCTGCAAAATACTGCAGGAAGCACCAATACAAAACATCAGCAACACAATCTCAACTTTCAGCACACGACCAATCAATGACGACAGAACAAACAAGTAAAAAGTGAAGGACAAAGTCAATCTACGCAGGTTTTCTCTGAATCTTTTAAGCCGACAACAGAAAAACAACTGGAAATATTTTCCAAGGCAAGTTTGGATTTCATTAATTGTCATTGCAACATCACATCACTAACGTTCATTAAAAAAATTAAAAAAAGATCAGAGGCCTTTTTATAATAATGTCAAGAAACAGAAGGGGGCTGCGGGGGCAAAAAAATTAAATATGTAAAATATGATTATTTCAAAGATGATTGATGTAGAATTGGTCCACAGTCCAGTTAAGGCTAAGATGACAATGTGCATATAAAGTTAATGTTTCCTTTGAGTCCATTTATGGCAACACATGAGTCAGTAAGTGGGAGAAAACTGTAGTGTCAGTCCACACGGCTCCTCTCAATCACACTCCACCCATCAGCTCTCAGAGGCTCATGTGTCAAAGTTTATATCCGTTTCCCATCTTGGCGATTTATATGGCGCTACCTCTGAACAATGTCACTAATCTCTTTAACAGAGGACAGCAGCTTGGTAAAGTCCTGCTGTGCATTAGCGCCCCCTGTGGCGGAGGGACAGATCTGAAGCTCACGCAGGCTCGTCTCCAGGTTGTTGATGGCCTCTCGAAAGGCGAACTTGTTCCTCATCTGCTGGATGGAGTCGACGTAGCTCATGCAGTACTTGGACAGGTTCTTCCCGGCCTCCAGCACGCCGCTGTGGCTGCCCGTCTGCTCGGACATGCGGGAGATGGCGGCGCGCAGCAGCTCGGCTCCCTCCAGGACCATCTCGCGTGTCACGGCTGAATTGGGCGTGCGCTCGCTGCCTTGGCGGGGCGTGGTCTTGCGGAGGGACGATCGGGTTTTGGCAATAGGGGTGAAAGCAGATAAGCTCTGATCGGCAGAGGAGGCGACTGTGGATGATGGGCCACCCTGGGTCTGGCAGGAGGAAGAAGTGGTCACAGAAGTAGCACATGCAGAAGCCTTTATTGCTGGAGGTTTAGAGCCCAAAGGCCCCTTTTTGGGTCCCTCAGTGAAGGCTGAGCGGGCTTGGTCACTAGCAGCAGTTGTATGGTGAAGGTCTGAAACGAAAGGAAGGCCCTTAGATTTGATGTCTGAGGGCGAAGATGAGGGCGAGGATACGGGGGATTCTTGAGTGGGGCTTCGTGGGATTTTGCCTGATTTGGGACCAGTGGGTGGTGGAGGTGGAGCCGGCTTGGGTTTATGCATCTTGCTTCTCTCCCTTAAAGATGCGGGCTCCACAGCATGCTTGTTCCTGCGAGCCCTGCACTCCTCTCCTGCTGCCCCCAGAGTAAGGAGCACATTAGCTTTTAGTTCTGCCTGGAGAGCACTGGTCTTGGAGTTTTCCTGGCCTGCTAAGCCTGGTCTCTTCACCACTTTGGGTGTTGACGCTTGCGGACTGGAACCAGAACTGGAATCATTGTCTTTACCCAGGAAGGCAGGACAAACATCCGATGATGTGTTAAAACGTGGCGGTGGGGTCAGGGTGCCCATTCGACGGGCACTCTCTCCTTTCTGCTCGTTGGTCCTCTTTCGTGGCAGAGCCGGCTTCCCTCCCAAAGTGCTGGAGTCGAAGTG